TTTCTTGACCGAAGGATTATCAATCCTACAATTTTTTTTTTTTTTGACAAAAGCATATTTTTAATTTTCCCACCATTAAATTAACTGGCATTTCACTATTTTGAAAAAGCTGCTGCCAGTATCATCAACCAAGTTCAAAGAATTAAAAATACTTGCACTGATATTCTTTTTATTCGAAATAAAAACACTCCTTGCCACTCTGAAGATAAACAACTTCCTAAATTATTTTATTAATAAACGAACTGGACCTAAATTACAAATTTCTTTAATTTAAATTCTCAGGCAGACTAATTGTAGGTGTGTAATTTTTGTAAAAAAAAATTTGTAAACTTTTGTATATTTATTTTTTTCCATTCTGGTAGCAGATTTCTGTTACTAACAAGGCCAACCCTCTTCAAGTCCTCTCCAATTTTTTCTTTTCTTGTTTGCTTTACTGCTACCAGAAATTTTAATTTATCAATTACTGTAACATGCTTTAAATACCATCCACCCTCCTAATTTTAAACTTATACATTTTTTGCTTACATCCCCATAATTAAAAGCTTCTCTGATTCACTGTTTGCTTATAACTACTCCTTCTATCCCTCCTCTCTCCAGCACATCATATGGACAAACAATTTAAATTCTGCATTCACTTGGGATGACCTCATAACTGCATTTTGCCTCAAGCTTCCATTTCAACTTAAAACTCTGTAGTAGTAAATACATTTTCTTCCTTGTTTTGTTAAGACACTTGAGCCTAAATAGCTGCCCTTTTATTGGATTTATTTTTATTGTATTTACAGGCTTTATCATCTTTTTCATCATTATTTTGCATTTTTCAGTGACATTTCTGGAAATTATTGATAGTCCACATTTTGAAGTTTTTAAGCCTTTTTTCTGTAGTTAAAATTAACATATGCTTTTAAAATCTTTGTTGTACTTAACTACTTTATAATTTTTCAACTATATTTTTGGAATTTACCAATACCCTACATTTGAAGTGCTTTATTTATGCTTATTTATTTATTTTTTAAAGTAAAATTCGGTTGTTAAGATCAAGATGGGAAATCCTGCAATGCAACTTTCCTAACTAAATCATTTTTCTTTTTGAAAATTGCACAGTATTAGAAATGATCAGTCATACCAACTAATTAGAACAAAAAATTAAACTACTTTTGTCCATCCCCCTGACAACAGCAAAAATAGTTCATTCTGTTTTAATATTTTGGCCATACTTCAATTTTAATAAAGTTCTAAATCTGTTTTTACCAGTTCTCAATTTTTTCTTTTGCGTTTTTGTAATACTTTGGAAAGTTACAGCTTCAGTACTTAATACAACTAATTACAGCTTACTTTTGCTTCCAAAGCACAAGTACTCTTTTGGTTTAAACAGTATGCATATTTTTTAGATTTTTCTCAATTCTTTTCCTTATATATCCTATATCACAAATTGGCAAATTTGTTTTGATGTGTCTCCTTGTATATTATTTATAATATCTTTGCCTTAATACGTCCCATGCATTTTATTTAGATTATAATTATATTTTGCACAATTATTCTGTTTATTCTGTTCTGTTACCAGTTTTTTCAATTAAATATTCACATGGACTACTTTTATTGATTTTAACATACTGTTTTTCAGATCTTTTTATTTTTACAAATTTCCATTTTTATTTATTCTTTTATTTCAAAACCAATTTTTAGGTATTTCATAATTTTAAATGTTTTCAATCAGCTAAGTAATATTTACTATGTTATTAATATCTGCATTAAAAGAAATATTGCTACACAACAATAAAGAATAAAATCATAATTAAATCAGGGCTCTCAACAGCTAAACTCCCAAATCGATAGATAGATAGAAAGCTAAAATTACAGAATCAGCAATGTTGTTTATACCAAAAGAATATCAGGAAAAGGCTTTGAACTAAAAGCTGACAGTTCTGCTGGTACGTAGAAAATCTGTTTTAATGCTCAATTAGTATCTGCAGTTTTAGGTAATTTTTTGCAAGAACGTGGCTACAGAACTGACACAAGTACGAAATATATCACAGTGTCAGTGATGTTTCTAGATTAACATACTTTCATTTATGAAAATATATACGGATAGAGGGGAAAACAATGAAATTTTCTAAAACTTATCAGATGAAAACTTACTATACCTCAAAAGTTAAGTAATAACTTATATATCATGCACAATTTTTTTCAAATTTTTTTATTTCGTCATTTCCCACAAGAGCCTTGAAATTTTGTAATGGTACAAAAATTTTGAGAATCAAAATCTAACTTTTTCTTTAATTAATGACTGTAGGACTTACTTTATGAAAACACAACTCTTTGCTGATCCAATGAACTACATGGAACTTGCCATGAAGTGGTCGTTGCAGAGTGAGTTGCACCCATGTCCATTTTAACCATTCTATCTTTGGTCACTGTGTCCTTAGTATTTACTTCATACTCTTGAATTTAGACCGAGTTTCAAAAGTAATCAAGCTGTCGAAAATTTTTGTTCTGATTACTCCATCTGGAGTTCTAACCCTACATTACTTGTCTGGAAACCTTTGTAAGAACGTTAACACACCTTTTAACTGCATGACAAATAAAAAGTACATGGAAGAAGTTAAAAGCCTTCCTTTACGTATAGTGCTTCAAATCTTTGCTCAATTTATAGCATGCAAGAGGTGGCTCTGTAATTTAACAATGCTGCTAGTCGATAAGGTCAATGCAATGTTGCACATCAATATAATTTGCTCGACTTTTGAATTTGCATACTGGCACAGATGGCTTCTTTGACTGTGATTGATCTCGCAAAAAGAATTCTTCGTACACCTAACTCTGAATGTGCTTCAGTTCCTCTGCGAGCAGAGATGCAATCTGATTCTCTAAATGTGCAATGCAACCATTTTGCTAAACGGAATCTTCCACGATGACCAGATTAAAAGTGAGCTACTGCAAGAAACAGATTACACCATGGGTTAATAGAAGCATCTTTAATGGCTGGATTGCATTTAATCTAAAACTGCAGTGAAGCACAATATGATAAAATATGGCATCTTTTTCAAGACAGCAGACAGATTAGTGCTGTTTATGTAACTTCAAAGGAATCTGCTGGCCATAGTAAGGCATTAGTTTCCTAAGACTTCATGTTGCCAGTTTTGTTGGGCATTTACCTGAAGAAATAGCTCGGCTTATATTCCAAAGATATTTTTTATATGAATTGAGATTTAAATCATTCTCTCCCATGGCTGGCAAATTTTCTCAAATGGTTGAAAAATCAACTACAGAGAGGTGCTCAGAGTAGACTAAGTTTTTAGCTACAGGTCCATAAAATTCACGACGACCCGCTGTCAGTCCATTCAAATGATTTATTATGTGCCTTACCGGTAGTGAAGTTGGCATGTCATCTACTATAGGTATCTTCCAAACTCTCTAGTAAACAAATGACACTTCATGAATTTCGTGTGCTCACGGCAATTCTGTCACACCCAACCACTGCAAGCTGAGATACATCAATGTTTTTATCATTTAGAATAGCCAATGAGTCTTCTTTGATACTAAATGCTAAAAATGTTAATGGAGAAACATGCCCAAGATACACACTGTGTGGTTCTAGAATCTGATATATATTCTTCCACTTCAGATCTGCAATGGGAGCTGACCATTTTTCGCCAACTTTCTCCCATTCAAGTACAGACCCTGAAGTTTGATTTCATCTCCTTAGTTGGTTCAGCAGATTTTGTCACAGTTCTCGTTGCTCCCTTTGATATTTACATATGTCAGTGATAATCTGTGAATCTATACATTTCTTAACTTTGCCCTTTTTCGCTACATTCTCAGCATTATCCCTTTGCAAATCGCACACTAATGCTGTCACAACAGCGGCAGTAGACCTGTCCTGTCAAATACTCTAGCAAATGTTGAAAGCTTGATTCTGGTTTGTGGTGCACCTGTAGTTGCAGCAGAGTGACGATGATATCTGCTTCCTCTTGTCTGGCATGGGATTGGGGATTTTTAAAAGCTGTTTCTACAACTTTGTCTTCATCTTCATTGGAAACGCACCTACCTGGTTCACTTCCATGAAATTTGGAAATTCGTGCTCCCCCAAAGCTAGTCCCCCCTTTTTTATTTAGTTGCTGACTAATTTTACAGATGAATGGAACCAATGTCCATTCGTCTTACAGTTCTCTGGTCAGACAGGAAAACCTATTCTCTTGCAGAAACTTCCTGTGCTTTCTCATAACTAGAGTATTTGTAGTCAGCACATCTGCATGGAGCAGGGACAAACAGTTTTTTTACTTTCTCTCTGAAAGCTTGAACTTTAGCTTTAAACCTGGCAATTTCCTTTCTGCTGATGTAAAATTTTAAAAGATTATATTTCTTCTCATGCTTTCTTTATCAAATCAATTATTCTTACATTCATTTTTTAAGTGAACAATAATTTCTTAAAACACATGCAGAAATATTTTACAGTTTTGCTAGTTTCAAAGAAAATATTTACAGTACTTTGCATAATGTACTGCTGCATGTTAGCAGTGTTGTTGAGAAAAATAAAACACACTGAAATATTTTATTATAATATGGAAGTTTAATGTAACAATTGCAAATTTCAAGGCTCTTTGCAGGGAATGAAGTAGTTTTCAAAAAATTCATCGGTGACATATTAGTCACACAACTACTAAAGGGTATCCTAGAATTTTCGAAAATTTTTGTGGTTTTACTGTGCTTTTACAAAAGTGCAAAATTTCAAGGCTCTTGCAGGAAATGAATACTAAACACACAACTTTTGAGGGACAGTGTGTGTGAATTACAGAACTTTTTATTTTTTCGCTCCATCCTAATACAAATGCATCATGAATTGTCAAACATTTTGTCACAAGGTGATCATATCCTTATTGATGTTCTAAAAATCTTTATAATGGTGAAATTATTTTTTCAGAGTGTGAATAATATAAATATATCCACTTTCTTACTATAATCATGTAATGTTTTTCAAAAAAAAAAAAAAAAAAAAAACCTACTTTTTCATGCCATGCTAAAAGATGAGCACTTCTGCCTTCAGATGGATTTTCAAAACCCTTGTAAACATATTTCATTAGTATATCTATTTGATCTCTATCTAACTGAGCAACTGCTTTTTCCATATCACTTGTTTTTATAGACAAAATTACTTTCAGAACTAGATTAAATGCAGCATCCTAAAAAACAGAGACATTAAATTAATAAAACTAAGACATAATTTTTCGCATTCAGTACACAAAACAATATTTACTAAAGTTCACACAACATTAAACAATACACTGAATTAAATTCAAGAAACTACTGCAGTTAAGACACGAAATTCCTCGCCAAAAAATTAATCATAGCTTAAATATAGGTGTTTGAAATTAATCAATTTCTTGACTTATTTAATAACTTCGGACAAATAGTAATATATTTAGCAGAGAAAACCTTTTTAATTAACAACGAACTATTTTATTTAGCATTCTAAACATTACAAAAAAGAATAACATTCCATGCGTTATCACGCTCAAAGCAATATATAAAAAAAAATCACTGTTGCCACAAAAAATCTACATTATAATGAACATATTAAATTATTGTGTATTAACTGAGTTCGTGCACGTTCCTGAACATCCTCCCACCTTGCAATTTTAGGAAATTGCAACATATTCTCTACTCAGTTCATCAGTTTCTAGTTCTGATTCTTCAGAGAGAGGCCATTTATCCGGCTCTTTTTTAAGCCAATCCGGCCACTTCCACCATCTGCTCTGTAGCAACATTTTGGCATCGCACCCTCTAGAGGGAAGATCAGCTGGATTGCTTGAGTTTGGTACATAATGCCAGTCGTCCGGATTTGTGCATCTCCTTATTTCAGCTACATGATTTTGTCACCAAAACACTCCAGTGGGAGTCTTTTTTTATCCATGTCAGAACTTCAGATGAGTCACTCCAAAGGTACACTTGGCACTTTGTCAATTTAAGAATGTCAGTGACTTGACGATACAGCCGAGTAGCTATAAGTGCTCCAAGCAACTCTATTCTAGGAATAGTTACTTCTTTGGCAGGCGCTACTCTTGATTTACACAATACCAATTGTATCAAAAGGTTTGGAAGAATTTCTATTAAATTCGGCCCCTTTTCGAGGCAAGCATTCAAGGAATTCCCATTTTCATCCTTCAATGATGCATCGAATACAGGTCGCACTTTTGTAGTCAGACTGGAATCCTTGATTACTGCTTGATGAAATGAATAGTGACCAGTATCCCTATTATTCGGAGCTATTTCAATTATACCTTCCTCGTGCCAGTTTTTAATAATACCATCATATTAATCAAAAAATCCCATCTTCTGCAGTCTTGGTGTATTGGCGAAAAGTCTTTTTTCCGCTTTATCTTTATTATCTTCAAGAATCCGATGACTATCCTTCCAAGGCAAACAGACTGCATACCTATTGCCCTCAATTACTTTAATGTTCTCTAGGAAAAATTTGATCGGTCAGTGTCTAAATTCTCCTTAGTCTTAACTTCCGCCGGATCTTTTATGCCAATTGTCTCTAAATTCCATAGTTCTGCGAGATCCAAATAACAAAGTCCGACGGTACCAAGCAAGGGATTATGACTTTGCACTGGGCCTTGTAGGGTCCAACCCAATTTTGTTTCAATGGCAATAAGGTTTTTGTCAATTGGAATGATATTATTCGTCATTAACTGTCCGGAATAGTCGGCTCCTATTAACAATCCGATATCTGGTATATCTCTTCCAGAATCACTGATTTTGATTTTATGTTCTCGAAGTCAGGAACATATATGTTTGAGTTTCACTCTAGGAATGTATCCACAAATTTTGTCTTTATCTAAAACCGATAATTCATATTTGAATTTATTTTCCGTTTCTTGTATTTCGATATCAAATACCATGGACCTGAGATTCAGTTTCAACTCCACCAAACAAATTATGGCTCAAAGTCTCTTGATCTAATGGGACTAAATCTAGTCTCTTTATTATGTCTTTCCGTAAGTAAGATCTTTGTGACCCACTGTCAAAAAGAGTTCTCACAAGCTCCTTTTTTCGATTATGGACAATCTTCACCATAATAGTTTGGAGAAGAGTTGTTTGCAGTTTTTGGTTAGACAATAAAGTCTCACTTGTTTCGTTAGCTGCTTTAGATGCTTCCTTTTTTGAACTTCTAGAACCTTTTAGTTCTTTGCACATCACCGTTACATGACGTTTGTTGCAAACTAGGCATTTCACAGAATTTTTACACTTTTCGGCAGCATGCACAATTTTTAGGCAGTTAAAACAAGCTTTTTTCTTTCTTAGTAAATTTTTCTTATCTTCCAATGAAAGGCTGTGCAGCTTAAAGCACTAATAAGAATTATGTGTTTCCTTGTCACACCAAACACAAAAATTAAGCTGTTTCTTCTTTGAATCTCCTGCATAAATACAAGCTGCTGTGGCTGGAACCGAGTCCAATTTGTCTGGAGCAGAAAAACTTGTACGGTCCAACTGAAGACGCTCTTCACTTTCAACTTCAACTCAGAGAAAATGCAATAAATTTTCCAAATTTTCAGTGTGTGCAACACTTTCCCTACGCTGGCGAGATCGCTCCCATGCACTCAGAATTTCTTCAGGTAGTGAAGACTCTACAAGGTGATACAGCATAGCTGCATAAATCTCACTTTTTACCCCCAACGTCTCCAAAGCTCTTGGGTTGCGTCTCTAACTTATCATATAAGTTGGATAGAATCATATTTCCTTTTTTGCTAGCTTGAGCTAAAACCAACTTTAATAATTCGCGAACATAGATTTCTATCAGTAATTCGTCTTGTGCAAATCGAGATTTTAGCTGCTTGATAGCTTCTTTATAATTCGTGCCTGAGGGAGGATAACTATCTATGAGCTCTCTCGCTGGGGATCCAATGACCGTTGCCTGCAATAGGTACTGAAATTTGTCATCGTCATCTATATTTACATCTTCATCGATCTTCTTAAACTGTCCCCAAAATCCTAACCAATTACGGGTCTCCCCATTGAATTTTTGAAGCTCCAACTTTGGTAATTTAAAGTTCCTTTTCATGGAATTTTCTAAAGTTCCAGGTGTAATTACAGGAGTGGAATTCACCATTCACCATTCTATTTTCTACTTTTGTTTTTAAACTGATATATTTATCACGATATGTTTCATTCATGTCAAAATCAGCCAAATATTCACTTTCGTTTTCACTTTTCAACAAAATTTCGGAAATTTGTGATTGAACTTCATCTAATCTGTTGAATTTTCCCTCCAACTGTGAGCTCAATACTTGGAGTTAATTAATCTCCATGTCAGGCTTTAGAATTTCAGCCTCTAAAGCATTGGCAGTTATCGTAAACGATTGCCTTAGTGGTTTATGCTTTTTTAATAAAAATTCCATGATTTTAATTTCAATATGTCCAATATATTCAAATAATAAAGTATATAATCAAACAAATCATAAACTCACTTGATAAATTCCAATACGAAATCAACGTTTCGTTTTCAAACCGTTGTTTCTTTTTCTTCAAATAGCCATTCCGTCCTGTCGAAGGACGCCAGTTGTTTGAAATTAATCAATTTCATGACTTATTTAACAACTTCGGACGAATGGTAATATATTTAGCAGAGAAAACCTTTTTAATTAACAATGAACTATTTTATTTAGCATTCTAAACATTACAAAAAAGAATAACATTCCATGCGTTATCACGCTCAAAGCAATATATAAAAAAAATCACTGTTGCCGCAAAAAATCTACATTATAATGAACATATTAAATTATTGTGCATTAACTGAGTTTGTGCACGTTCCTGAACAATAGGACTATGGATTTATATCTTCGAACAGAGTAGCTTCAGATCATGAAATCTGGAAATTCATTTTGAACATTCCAAACGACACTGAATACTGGGTCATTTGAAATGTTCTGTTTTTTTTTTTTTTTTTTTTAATCAAAGAGCATTTTCCTCCAATTATTTTGTTAGCGTCAATAAGGAGTGACCTTGATCAAAGTGGATGTTTAAATGCAGTTTTTTCTGTTCACACTGTATAATTCTAGCATGCCTTGTGGCATAATTTTTGTTTCAGTGCAGCACTAAGAATGAAGAACATAAAATTTCACTTCCATCATACCGTTACGAAATGTACAGGTACGGTAAGATAGCTTCCCCTCAACGAAGGTTTAGGGTTGTCAGAAAATGGCTAGGGAAAGCAGGGTTGCCACATTTGGCGACAGTCTGTGCAGAGAGTCCATTGAGTTGACAGTCGATCAGCGAGTGTCGAATGGGTCATCGAGTGCACCGAAAGAGTCTCTTAGTGTATCATGGTTCGTGCATCGTCAAGAGAGTCTGTTGAGCTTCGGGAACGACTGAACCGAGGAGTCGAGTGCATCGCGAGTTGTAGCGTGGAGAGTATCGAGAGTACGTGGAGTTCTAAGAACAACCGAGCAGAGTCAGGAGCTCTGCTTTGCAGCAAAGCAGTCTCTATTGTTACAGCCTGATAACCTGGAGGCTGTATCACTGATTGTGTCAGCATATTTACAGTAGTTCTTCGACGACTGCAAACGTGATTTTGGAGCTGGAGCTATCCTGATTAATATTGGTAAATAAAACGTGTTTCGATACTTCATCAAGTGTCGTCGTTATTCACTCCAAATCCGCACGAACCCCGTACGTACGTAACGTAAAAAAGGAAGGAAAAATAACGTAACAATATTCTCTGCTCTCTTATTTCAGTAAAGGAAAATGCTAATCAGTACTAATTTGCCAAATTTTTTGCTATATATGGACAATGCGCTGTTTCTGATTATACAATTCATAGGTGGTTTGAGCAGTTCAAGTGCGGAATTTGCAGCCTCGAAGATGATGCCTACTCCTACTAGAAGACCATCCCTCGTAAACAAGGACTATTAAAGAGAGCTATTATTGAAAATGGACATTATATAGTTTAGGAACTATCTGATAGTCTAAATATTCCAAACAGTACCATAATTTAACAAAGCAGAACATACTTGCTGGAATTCTGGCATGAGATTCTTTGCTGAAAAAAAAATAAAGATACTCATTTTTTGAAACAATTCATTACTGGAGATGAGAAGATTATATTATACAGTAACGTTACTAGAAAAAGATTATGGATTTGGCCAAAAGAACCCCCTGTAGTAATATGGAGAAGGGGGGTGGCTGTATCTGAAAAAAAAAGGTAGTGCTTTGTGTATGATGGGATTACAAAATAACTATACACTATGAATTGTTAATACCAAATCAGGGAATAAACTGTTTCTAAATGACAATTTTAAAAGCAGAAATTAAAACAAAGCACTTTTAATTGACCAATCAGGGTGCTGTCTTCCGTCACAATAATGCTTGGCCCCACATTTCGATGAATCCCACATATTTACTAAGTATGACCACAATTTTTTGTGTTTGCTCTTATATTCACTAGACTTGCCTGCTGTGATTTTCATCTCTTCATGTCACTTTAAAATACTCTGAACGGCCTGGAGTTCATTTCTTGGAAGACTGTTAAGCAGCAACTTGATAATTTATATATGAATAAACCTAATGGTTTCTTTAAAAAAGGAATTTTCCAGTTGCCGGAAGAGATGGCAAAAAGGTCATAGACAAAATGCCGCTTATTTAATTCAATGAAATTTTCTTACGTTTTTGTACTGCTTCATCTGTATCATTCATTAAAAGAAAAAAATGGAAATTTCCGAATCACCCTATACATTTTGGTAACAGAATATGAAACTAAGAGAAATTATACTCTAGCCTAAAATCTTACTTATACTACATTACCAAACTCCCTGAAGTCTATACTTTTCATTAATTTAAAATTAAAATACTCTTCTAAATATTTCTATCAGCTTCTTACTTTGATATTTTGGTTCTTGGTGCCTGTTGGTGCAGAACGCAGCAGTATTTTTAGGGCTTCAACATGTTTACCTCTACAAAATGTTAAGGAAATAACATTTGAAAAATTAATTAATAAATGTATAGTTATAAATGATTCACAAGTCTTAAGAAAATACTTAGTTAATTTAAACAGATGAAATTATAGACTCAAGGCATGATTATAAAATTTTGAAAATAATTAAATCAAAAACAGAATAAAAATAAGAGTCCCTTATAATACTGTGTTGTTGCAAATTAAATGACCTATTTTAAGGACAACTGAAATTAAAGAAATTTTCAGCAACATCAGTGCATTGTTGCCAATGTGAAAAAAGGTCATTTGAACCAAGACTGTAAAAATCAGTGTCTGGAAGCTATGATATTGTCAAATATCCAATACATTGAAGCATCACTAGCAAAGCATTTGGGGGGGGGGGAATGGCTAAATTGCCAAACAAAAAATTAAGTCTTGAGTAAATGCCAGAACAATGTGGAGAATAAGGCCCTTGTTTCCCATGTTGCTGGTCCGCTATCTGATTGACATTATCACGTATTATTTGGCATTATCCTGAAGCAATAGAAATCCATGCCTCTTCACATGTGATGGTTGTTTGTGTCATAATTTATCATGCATTTGCTGCATACTTATACAATTTATCATTTCACCTTATGACAGGAATGAGTAGCTAATGACACAAGAAAAGATCACCATGCAGTAAAGATCACATTTGGATGCTAAGATGCCTTCTGGGTTCCTCCTGGAATGCCTTTCACTAAGAACCAGTGCAACAAATATGTGCAATTATCATAGAACATCCACTTTTGATCCACAGTCACAATTTTTTTTTTTTTTTTTTTTTTTTTTTTTTTTTTGCAGGAACCCTTCTTCTTACTCCTTTTTAAGAAGGAGCATCCTTCCTAACACTGTGATTTGTTTTCATCAATGAGTTCATGTGGCACCTAATCATTGAACTTCCTTACTTTTTGTATCTACAGCCAAGTGCTGTGAAACAGTTTAAAAATGCAAATTTAGTGTGTGGTTGATTTCTAGCACAGTTTATAGAGGATCTGATTAGATTAAATCCTTTAACACTTTCAAATTAATGGAAGAAGAATGGCAGCCAAGGGGGTTCATTTTGTAGCCTCAAATTTCCTAAGCGAAATTTCGCAAACCACTGGTAAGTAGATCTCTCATTGTTTCCTCCACTAAATATGTTATTGATATCTTTTACAGTACCCACTGTAGATTTCCCATTTTAAACCCATACAGTACAACTCTAACTGCAAGATTCCATACTGATTTAGATCCAGTAATACTTAATGTTTAATACTTGTTGAATAAAACAAATATTATAATTGCATCACCTACATGTGCTAATGTCATATGACAAAAGAATTTACATATATCTTAATGCCTGCTGTCTTCTGCAACCAGTAGAAATCTGATGGCATTCAACAGCCACTTCATTCACAACAACCCAATACAAAAACATGGGTATTATTTCCCCCTCACTGGAACTCGGAATTGTTAAAACACCATTTTCTTCAACACTAAAAGCAAGAAAATGCCTAACATCAGAAAACTGTATGAAAAAGAGTACTACAATCCGATTATTCTACCTTTTTCTTAATAGCTCAAAACCCAATAATAGGTCTTAATATTTAGCCGGGAAAAATTAATGTTCAAAATGCTATATTTCTATTATAAATTTATGAGAGTATTCCAGAAAGACTTGGCTTTTGAAAATTTCCACTTAAAATACTTGGTGTGGAAAAATATTTTACCAGTGGACAACTTTGTTATTCGTAATTTCTTGTTCATACTAAACATTTTAATGAAATCTCCTATTTACACTTTTTAAAGATAATGTCAGGAAACGTCATTTGAAGGACTGATAGCATTTGGGGGATATTTCACATATTTTTCCTTTTAGAAATCATTTAGCATTATAATACATTATTTTAAAAAAATCCACATAATTGAAGTGTTAAAGCCATACAAATAAAGTTAATTTGAATGATAACTAATAATATTTACTTTTGCTTTAAATCTAAACAATTTTACTACAATCTCTTCACACACTGCTCTATGCATTATATGCATATAAAAAACTTGATAAATCTCACACTATCAGTATAGTTATCATTTGTTATAGCATATGATCGTGGCATGATAATAATTACCTTAATTGCATAGATAGTAGATACTTTTCCAAATATAAAAAGAGTTATGTATTGATATATTTGTACCCCAACTAGCATCTGAAGTATATTTTAAAATTAAGCAAAAAAGGTACCTTTAGATTGGCATGGATTCTGAATAAATTTTACCATTTTTGTGAGTGATTGGAAAAAGACATGTGCTTCCAATTCTTTTCTACTCCTGACGAAGAATAACCTATGACTGATTGCCCTAGAAACAGAGCTTTATTCAAAATCTATGGCAATTTGCAGTTGCCTTTTCTGCCTACTTTTTAATTCTACACTGGCCTGTTCTCTACCAATTAGATCCAATGTACAGTTATTTAAGCTCTTGCAAGAGATATAGAAGTATTCAATACACATTTTCATTTGACGACAACTTTCTTTTGATTGAAATTCCAACAAGAATTGAACTGCTTTCAGAGATAGCTGATGATTCTCGTAATTTAAAGCTCCAATATTTTTTACAAACATATATTCTTTGCACTGTGCAATTAAAATCAATATTTCATGTGATTTATCTATTAAAACTAGGGTTGCCACTCCAACAGGAAAATGAAATTCCCTAACTTTTCTAGGTGTGTTTTGAGAAAATTCCAGTTTATCTGCATAGTATGTGTTGGCTGTTTGAGCGGTTGATTAATTATGGTGGCACTTGAAAACACAAAATTTTGACAATTACATATGGCTACAAATCCCATACACACACATATATATACAAGGGTTGGAACTTTAATAGTGGCAACACAGCTGAAAAAACGCTACGCAACAAAACCAAAGAATATCGCTTATACCACATGTGAACTACATACCTACCTTACCTCTCAGCAAAAGGACTCGTCCTGCCTACGTCACACGCATGCGGAGTGAGTGACGCAAAGAATGGATCCTTGTATTAGCTCGCGGTCTAAAGTAAGTGTTGTCAAGATGTTTTCAAAACAAGAACAACGTTGTTGGATAAAAATTAAATGTGCCAGAGGTCATACAGCACGACAGTGTCATCAAGGGCTTCAAGGCTTGTGGGGAATCTGCATTGCCTTACAGAACCATAGCAAGATGGGTGAAAGCATTCAATGAAGGACGCCAAAAACGTGGCAGACATGCTGCGGCCAGGTCGTCGAGTGTCAGCGATGCAGACGTGCAAGCTGTTGACGCACTAGTGGACAGTGATTGCCGCCAAACGGTTTTTCATCAGCTGGCTGGACAAACTGGATTAGCGCATATGACTGTGTTGCACATTCTGAAGGAATGCATGTCCATAAGAAAAATTGCTTCACGATGGGTTCCACATCACTTGACGGAAATGCAGAAATGGCTACGATACATGCTGCCCGAACCCAAGGCTATGAGCGCGGCTTTTTTACACCATATCATTACTTAAGACACATAACACCTGCTCAGGCAAAAATAGCGTTATACCTACAAATTTTCACAGGACTAGTTTCGATGGTTTTGACCCATCTTCAGCTCTGATGATGCTTTTTACACGCTGATTTTTGTTTTTACACCATATCATTACGCTGGATGAGACTTGGGCGCGATCGTACCAGCCAGAACTGAAACGCCAATCAAACGAATGGTGTCATCACGGGTCACCACGACGTTCGAAATTTCGTCAGAACCCCAGCAATGTGAAAGTTATGGTGATTATCATGTTCAACTGTGATGGTGTCATTCTAACACATACCGTTCCCCCACAGCAGACCGTCACTGCGCAGTATTACTGCTCATTTTTGGAGCACAATCTCCGACCAGCTTTGAGAAAAAAAAACGGCGACACTTTCTGCAGAACGCTCCTCTCATTTTGCGTGACAATGCTCGGCCGCATGCAGCGCAAGCTGTGACTGATTTGTTCAAGCGATGGGGCTGGGAAGTGCTTTACCATCCACCATACTCCCCAGATCTAAGCCCTTGTGACTATGGCTTAATTCCTAAGATGAAGGAACCACTTCGTGGCACTTCGCTTCCAAACTGTTCCTGAGATTCTTGCGGCAGTAAGACCGGTCCATTCAAACTATCAACAAAACAGGCGCTGCTACAGGTATTCTGCGACTTCCACATCGTTGGAAACGGGTTGTACACAATGCTGGCGACTATATTGAAGGACTGTAAAACATGGTGACATGAATCACTTTTGTATTCCTTGTAAATAAATAGTTGCCACTATTAAAGTTCCAACCCTCGTATTTTCCAGTCTATGTATTTGGTTATGAAATATAATCCCAGCTTATTATTTAATATTGTTTTCTCCATGAAGAGGGATTAAAATTGTCCAATTTGATTAAAGCTTTTTTTTTGCAGAATTTAAGGTAAAGGACGATTTATTTAATAATTTAAAATAATCTGGATATGTTATATTTATTTAGCAGCTACATAAGCAAAAAAATGTGCATTTAAATGTTGTGATGGTATGTCATCATATTGTTAGAATTAGTTTCAGGAGTATGTCAAAGAAAATTCCCTGAAATTTGGAAGTATTATTAATTAATAATAAATATTTATAAGGAAGAAGTCACATTAAATGGTATGACTAACATTAAAATAAAGTTAGTTACTTAAAGATTAAAAACTGAATTACAATAATCAACGATATTTTGGCAAATATAGTTATATTAAATGGTTAGACTAGATGACTGACTGCTATTTTTTATTTCCTCCAAAATGACAAATAAGGTATTTATTAAAAAGGGAAAAAAAAGGTTTAAGATTTTGTGATAAAATCCTAGTATACGGTACAGCCTTGCATGATTTTGAAAATTGTCGCCAACGCTAAAATGACCCATTTACTGTTCATCACAATGTCACCAAATCTCGTGTGTATACTAGGACTAAACTGATTTTTGTTTTATAC